CCAGTTTGAGTGTGCTAATCTCAAGAAGAAGAATAAGTCACTGAAGGCAACCTGGGAAGACTCAAATAAAGAGGGCACAGACGAACCTTCGTTGCACACAAGCAACCTGGCAGTTCATACCTCAGTCAAGAAGTTCATGTGTCTCACCACTTCTCATACTCCGACCAAGTTTGAAGAAAGTTTGAAAGAAACTGAAGCATCTGAGGATGAATCAGATCAAATTGTGTGTGTAGATCCAGTTCACTTGCTTGCTATGGAAAAGTGCGCTCAAGCATCTGAGGCTCTACATAAGCTTCAAAATGAAGTGTTTAGACTTTCGAGAGCAAACAGGGTGCTGAACGAACAAGCATCCGCCTCCACTGATACTAAAGAGTGTGAACTAGATACTGTTAAGGCACAAACTTGCATCCTAGAGAGCAGTGTCAAACTTGCTAAACAAGACGGACTGGAGAAGGCTCAGACCATTGAATGCTTGAGGAATGAAATATTCTCTACTCAGAAACTTCTTGCCGAGCGGAACCAGGAAATTGTTCTACTGAAAAATGAAGCTGATCGGATGATGAACGAACATGCTAGCATGGAAAGCAAACTGAAGGAAAACTCTGCTGAGTTGAACCGAACTGCAGAAGTTGCTCAAAAACTGAACAAGGGAAAAGCAGATCTGAATGAACTTCTTTCCTTGGGAAGACAACATGGAGATCTCACTGGAATAGGGTACACTGGTAGGGAAGATTTTCCTGAGTCCTCAACTGGAGCTTCAAATGCAAAACATACTCGTCTTGGACTTGGTGACAAACCTGGAGTTGGAAGCTTGAACCTCCATGGAAGACCTTTCGGAAACGTGTTTGACAGGTTTGTAAAAAGCACTGTAAGTAAACCTCCATCTCCACAATCTCCCTTGAAGGTACATTCTTCCAAGCAGAAATCTGTTATTAATACTCACCATAACTTTGTTCTTATCTGTAATTACTGTGGTGTAACTAGTCACATAAGACCTAAATGCTATAAAATGCAGCATGACCTTTGTACAGGAAAAGTTAGAAGTTGGAATCAGTCTGGCATTCCAGTGAAGGTCCATTCCAGGATTCTCCCAAATAACCGTACCAAAACGCATCAAGTGTGGGTTGCTAAGAAATCCTTCAACTGTTTTGCATCTGTTATGTCCCTCAGGACTTCTCTGGAAGATAAAGGGTATCTGGACAGCGGCTGCTCTAGACACATGACTGGTGAACCTTCATACTTGATGAACATTCAATCTAGTTCAAATGAGGAAGTCACATTTGGTGACGGAGTGAGCAATAAGTTTATTGGAACTGGTTGTTTAAATTTGGGAGGAATACCTAAACTAACTGATGTGTTACTTGTTGATAAGCTAAAGGCAAATCTTTTGAGTGTGAGTCAACTCTGTGATCAAGGCCTCAGTGTCAGTTTCTCATGTGATAAATGTTATGTGAAAGACAGTGAAGGTTCTTGTGTACTTACAGGTTCTCGTTCAACGGATAACTGTTATCTTGTTGATGTTAATGAAAAATGCCTTTTCTCAAATGTGAGCGAACCTGAAATATGACATCAATGCTTAGGGCACATTGGATACTCTCACCTTGTCAAATTAACTAATGCAGGTGTAGTCAGGGGTGTTCCAAAGATTGCTGTGAAGGACCAGCCAATTTGTGAACCTTGTCATCTAGGTAAGCAAACAAGGACATCCCACAAGGCACTGAACTATATTTCTTCTAAACAGATCCTAGAACTTCTTCACATGGTTCTCATGGGTCCCATACAAGTATAAAGTTATCAAGATAAAAAGTACATTTTTGTGTGCGTTAATGATTTCTCTCGATATACTTGGGTTGATTTTTTTATGTGAAAAGTCTGATACATTCTCTGCTTTTAAGTCACTTTGTTTGAAGGTTCAAACTGAGAAAGGTTTTCCCATAATAAGTATTCGAAGCGATCATGGAAGAGAATTTGAAAATTCTGAGTTTGCTTAATTTTGTGATTCTCTTGGTATTAAACACGAGTTCTCAGCTCCTAAAACTCCTTAGCAAAATGGAGTTGTTGAAAGGAAGAATCACACTCTACAAGAAATGGCCAGAGTCATGTTGAACTCCAAAAACATTTCTTCCAGATGGTGGGCTGAGGCAATCAATACAGCATGCTACCTCGTGAATCGTGTGTACCTTCGTCGAGGTATTGGTCTGACTTCATATGAACTCTGGAAAGGTAAGAGTCCTAACCTCAGTCACTTGCATATTTTTGGGTGTAAATGTGCTATCTATAATGATCATGTCCAACTTGGGAAGTTTGATGCAAAATCGGATATTGGATTCTTTCTTGGTTACTCTAACAATAGTCAAGTGTATCGTGTTTACAACACTAGTACCTCCACTGTGACTGAGTCCATAAATGTAATTTTTGATGAAAACAATTCTCAAGTCAGTTCCTCTGTATCCTTTAATCAGTTTGAAAATGTTGAGGCATTGCAGGATACTCAGGGTGTTAAGAGCTCTACAGACAAGGAGATAGCTGAACCTTCAGTCGAGAATGCTGAAGCATCAACTGACTACATTGTCCTTGCGACCCAAGAAGGTTCTGAGTTACCTAGGCGTGATCCTCTATTAAGGGTTCAGAAAGATCATCCACCCGAGCAAGTCATTGGTGACATAAACGAAAGAGTCACTAGGAACTCGAAGACGTCAGTCAAAGAACTTATGGGTGTCTCTCATTATGCTTGCTACACCTTAATCCTTGAACCCAAGAATGCTAAAGAGGCCCTGAAAGATGAGTGATGGATCTTAGCCATGCAGGAGGAACTGGAACAATTCGCTAGAAACGATGTCTGGGAGTTAGTACCTGAACCTTCCTCGGGAAAAGTTATCGGAACCAAGTGGATCTTCAAAAACAAAACTGACGAGTTGGGGAATGTGACCCAGAACAAGGCGAGACTAGTTGCTCAAGGCTACACTCAGACTCAAGGGATTGATTTTGATGAAACCTTCACCCTTGTTGCTAGACTTGAATCGGTACGCATATTTCTATCTATTGCATATCTGATGAAGTTCATTGTCTACCAGATGGACGTGAAGTCTACCTTCCTGAATGGGATACTACATGAAGAGGGTTACGTGAAGTAGCCAGAAGGGTTCAAAGATCCCAAGAATCCAAATCATGTTTACAGGCTTAAGAAAGCATTGTACGGATTAAAGAAAGCCCCTCGCGCAAGGTATGAACGCCTTACCATGTACCTTCTGGAAAAGGGATTCAAGAGAGGAGGAGTAGATCAGACATTCTTTGCTCTTCGAACGAATGAAGACCTATTGGCTGTCCAAATCTATGTCGACGACATCATCTTCGGATCAACATCCAAGAAGTTGGTCAATCACTTTGTGAAACTTATGTCGTCTGAATTTGAGATGAGTCTTGTTGGTGAACTTTCATACTTCTTTGGACTTCAGGTAAAGCAAGGTAAAAAGGTATTTTCTTGCATCAAGGTAAGTATGCAAAAAATCTTGTTAAAAAGTTTGGTCTTGAAAATGCTAAATGTCCTCAAACTCCTATGGGCACTCATGTAAAAGTGTCCAAAGATGATGAAGGTTCATCTATTGATCAAACTCTATACAGAAGTATCATTGGTAGTCTTTTATATCTCACTGCTAGTAAACCTGACATTTACTTTAGTGTTGGATTGTGTACCAGGTATCAGGCTGCCCCCAAGGAATCACATATGAAAGCAGTCAAGCACATCATAAAGTACATTGGAGGTACAACAGAGTATGGTCTATTCTACTCTGCTGATACGAACTTACGTCTTGTAGGTTATTGTGATGTTGACTGGGCTGGAAATCTTGATGATCAAAAAAGCACCTCTGGTGGGTGTTTTTACATAGGATCAAACTTGGTATCTTGGTTCTGCAAGAAACAAAACTACATCTCCCTGTCTACTGCTGAAGCCGAGTACATTGCCGCTGGAAGCTGCTGCTCTCAGTTGGTATGGATGAAACAGATTCTATCTGAGTATGGTATGAACGTTCATTCGGCTCAACTCTTATGTGACAACACTAGTGCTATAAACATTTCGAAAAATCCTGTTCAACATTCTCATACCAAGCATATTGACATTCGTTATCATTTTATTTGTAATTTGGTGGAAGATGGGGTTATTGTGTTAGATCATGTACCTACAGATGATTGATTCGAAACGATTTTTGTCCCTGAGAAAACCTTTAGGAATGTGTGCTATATGATTTATATGCATTGTGTCAGTTGCATTTATATATATATATCGTGCCTATTGCATATAGGAGTTTTTCTTTGTTTTAGGCATCTTAGTATGTAGGTTCATCCCTGGAACTCTTCTCTGATCGTTTATTGTTAAGTTTGTTGATTGTTGGTCTGTGAATTCTAACTGGTCAGTTTGTAAGGGCTCGTCATGATGACCATTTTAATATACTTGTAAGAGCTGCTCTCGTGAAAATAGGCATCGGGCAACTATCACATGAGGTGCTTCCTTGATCACCTGTGAAACGAGTTACGTGTCTAATTATAATCGAGGTGTGATAGCTACAGGTAAACATTTTAAGAATGAACGTTCTCTGGTGAAATAAGGTCGGCCATCCTGATATCTTCTCAGCTTGTTCAAAATTGAAACTTTTTGCGGGATGATTCACACCTCAAGTAATGGGCTTGACATTGGCGT